GCTCAGGAATAAACTTCACCTTGCCTCGGGTATCTGAAAGATCACTTAACTATCCAAGGCTGGTTGGCTTTGCTGATCAGACGTTGAACCTTTGACGTTCTCTGCTAGCCAGTAAGGAATTAAAAAGCCTAAAAAATAAAATACTCTTCCGAAACCGTCTCAGTCGTCAACCGTCGCTGGCTAGCTGGAAATATGACGGTACTCATAGCTGTATAATGTAAAGACGTAACGTGATAGATTTTCTTACCGAATCAACTCCAGACACAAGTGCAGCTGCTTCTAACCGTTAGACAGCGTGAGGTCATTTAGACAACTTTTGTTCAGTCGACCATCGTTTCATCCTTGGTATCCCAGACGAGGAAAGCAAATAAGGAGTCGCATAGCAAAGCGAAATATGGTAACAAGGAACGGCGGGAAAAGTAGGATTGAAAGTTCAACTTTATCTTTTCACATTGAATCTATTGACATGTTTGCTCATCCTATCGACAGTGCAGCATAGCAAGTGTATTTAAATACAGTGAGACTGGGAATCCCTCAAATTTAATATACATGGAAGTTTTAAAGGCTCCTAATATCTTGAAACAATAGGTGAGACGTGTTTCACTAGTTGCATCTTGCCACTGAGTTGCTGTACCGTATTGCGGTATGACGGCATTCAAGCCGCAGTATGACAATATCTTCTTAACGAATAACTCTGTTCTGTTTTGAACATAGACGACCTCGGTAGATTTGAAAAAAAAGTTGACTCAGACAAGTTGTTTTGGAATTTATCATATACCCTAACCCATGAGCTTTTCGTGTGGGGCAAGGAGTCTTCGATCATGAGACAAGCATACAAAGTGGTAGAATAAGTTAAAAGCAATGTTAATAAGTTATAATAACAACCAATCCAAGGCCTTAAAGTGAAAGTGTTGCGAAGTTGCACATGCAGCGCATATAAACTCAACTTGTGTGCACATCTCAGCTGCTACCAAAATACGAAATTTTTTGAAACTAGAAATGTTATTGAGTAGAGTTGTTTTAAGTTAATTATAAATTATTTCGTACGTGGCTTTCATTTTCTGAGACATATCCAATGCAACACAAAAGCAAATCCGAAACAATCTAAATTTTAATATTTAAGAACGCAAGTGAACAATGTTTTATTTAGGCACAAGGCAGTACCCATTATAGTCTATTGGCATAACAATGGGGCCATAACGGATTTGCAACCTATACCTCAAGGGCCCTGCTTAAAGCGAATCTGACGGAAAAGTTCTGTTATTTTCAGTTTTGTCGATTTGGCCAAAAGACCTGATTGAAATTATCCAATTGAAGAATACCGAAAGCTAAGTGATTGGGCTCAGTTAAAAGTAGTTCGCTCAGAGGAAATAGTGGATGAGAAATATACCTTAGGGAAAATGCTGATAATCCATCGAAACAAAGATAGCAAGAAGTGGCAGGAAACAAATCTGGAAAAATATCGAGCGTAGGACAAGGCTGTTGGCAAACAGCAGTAACTTAGATCATTTCGAGTTTGAGTAAATGAATGAAGATGAA